CCCACTGTGCGTTAAGATTCACATGGTATTTAATAAATCCATTCAATAAATTCATGCGTATTACAAAGTGAAAAATGGAAATGCACACAGTGTATAGAAGGGAAGAGAAAAGCCGAACGTCAAATAAATCAGGATTCACATCACTCTTGGAAAATCAGCGGGAGACTGCGCAGAGAATTGAGCACAAGCGTTCAACATAAATGCGCAAATAATTTAATAGCATTCTTTTTGCTCGGTATATGACAACTAAAAAAAGGTGAGGGAACAAGTATAACTCATCTCACTCATTGCATGCCATTTTGCCCTTTTTTGTTGGTTACAAACCTCCAATTATAGTCGCCACTTTTTTCCCGATTTAATGGAGATGGGGTACAGCAAATTTTCGCTTCCAGAACATTCGATTTTTACCTGTGTCACCTTAACAATATACCAAATAACATTTTTCCTGCTCATTTCGAAGATTATATTTCACAACACAAAAACAAACCGTCGAGATTTGTGTCGCATTTCGGTTACGGATACTACTTGTGCATTTTTTCTCTCTCTTCCTTCGTCAGTTGTCTACGAATTTGTCCCCGACGAAGATTAAACGATTAAAGCAATGGAAACAAATCTCAACACTTGAAACCATTTTGGATTAAATCCACTTATTTGTGTGTTGTTCATTTGACGTTGTTTAGTTTGCAAAACATCCACACAACCATTGCATACGCACAGATTAGGTCAAGTAGATGATTGCACAAAGGAGACAATATGCCATTTTTCATACTTTACCTTAACGACATATATTTGCTTTCGGTCTCAATATCTTCGGTGTCGGTCGTTATTAGAAGGGAGATTATTAGGAGTCTCTTCCAAAATTTGAAGTGCATTAGAAGCACTCGAAAGAAGCCATGTACCATCAACATGCACAAAAGGATATGCATTTTATCCGATTTTCCTTTCTTTCTTTTTCGAATAAAGAATATGCGTATACTTGCCATTGCTCATTTCACTTCCTGCTATAATTCGCCTAGCTCTTGAAGAAATACTCATGAAATAAATGAAGAGAAAAAAAGAGAAAAAAAAGAGAAAAAAGGGAAAAAAAAGAAAAAAAGAAGAAATAACGACGAAAACGAAGGCGTTTCCAGATTTTCGTAGCCGAGATGACATAAAAGAAAAAGCCGGGTTAAAGTTATTTTTCTATCGTTTTTGAATTTACGAAATATATTTTAATTTGTCAAATTCATCGTCATTTGTAGTAATCATATTAATCATCATCATAGTTAGCTCATAGTCATAATAGTAATATGTACTTAATGTAAACTTCAATATACATAAGATTAAGATATACATACAGATTACGTCTAGTTTATTTTGCATTCAAATTCTCCTTAAATTGTGTGTGTCTGTGTGTATTATTTGTTACTTTTTGCGGTTGAAGTGAGCGTTTTTTTTTTCTTGTTGATTCTTTGTTCAATTTGATTCAGTAGCATTTTCTTATCATATTTGCCATTTTCTTGCTGTATTATTGTTTTAAATTACTCTAGTCACATTATTTTCGCGGATACCTTCATCATTAGGTGCTATAATTTATACACTAAAGTATGTTTTGTATACGCAGGATAGAGAGAGCATGAGAAGAAGATGTCAAAATGTATGGATCCAAAGTCACCATAATGCATTTTCAATGAAAGTAACCTCTTTTGCACAAATGATACGGTTGACAAAAGCAACGAAAATCAAAAGATTTTAGCTGTTTTTATTTCGATATTCTCCAAAAAAATGAATCATAGTCTCTTTGCGCCCAGAACAAATAACCAATTCCATCGAATCCAAGCGTCTCGTCGCGTACACTTCTTCCTGATTTCGGTTATTGTTTTTACGATTGTAAAGAATGAGACTTTTACTGAGGATGTTGAAAAAAATGATTTAATACCTCGAATTAAGTGCGGTGTATTGTCAGTCCCTGTCGTTTAATCAGCTACAGTTCTGTGTGGGTGTATTAGTGTGTATGTGATGTTCAAAAGCAAATGCTCTTACCAAATTCCGAATACAATTTTACATGTGATTTTTGTACGCGTGTGTGTGAGTTTGTGTGTAGGAGAGATACACCACTACTTAAATATATTTTGTGGTGGTTCGCATAATACAGTGACAACATATCTACAATTTGAATGGTTTTTTTTTGTTAATTGCAAATTAAGAAAGATCCAATAAGCTTCGTTTGTTTGTTTGTTTGTTTTTTGTTCATTACTTTCTTATTTTTATTAAATAATTTCACATTAAACATTTTTTTGTTCACAATTTGTGTCTTGTTCTTCACTAAGTGTAAATTAAATAAATTCTTTCGATTTGTTTCTACATGAACTTATAAAAAAAGAGACAAAAAAAAAATCGTCGAAGAAAACATAAGAAAGCGTACGGTTTGAAGTGGAATGTAAATTGTTATATTTTTCTTTATTGAACAACATATATTGAAATTCGTTTTTATCATGCAAAAAAAGTGGTGCACGCGTTTGGCGCATGTCTTATTGAAAATCGTTCATTTCTTTTTATCAACAGTCCGTTGACTGATTTAGTTTTGGAACGAAAAAAAAATACATCCAAAAGAATTCATCACATCATCCATTTGTTTCTTTGTTTTTAACCATTTTGTGTGTGTGTTCACTCACTGTTTTCTCAATATGCACTTTGGTCTATCTTTACATGCGAAGGGGGGAGAGGGTATATTGGACCAAAAATGAGAAAATGACATATATTTCCAACTAAAATTATCTTCAAACAAGAAAAATGGTTCAATTGTTTGGGATTTTTGTTTCGGCCAAATCAAATTGCTAGGTGCATCGATTATGTGTGTTTTTTTCCTCCTGTTTATGTTCTTCAGTGTTTGTGTGAATGCATGTATGTATGTATGTGTGGGTATTGTGTTGTGTCCTATTTGCCTTGAAAATGCGATCTCTAACGCTTTTTCCTGTTGTTCATTGAATTTTCTTATTGTTTGATTTTTTTGCCAGGGGTTTATGCACAAGGAGCGATTCACTACTGAATTGACTGAAAGTACTGAAAACAACTGATTATCTACTGAAAATATCTTATTTATACTGAAAAGTACTGAAAACCGGTTTTCAGTACCTTTCAGTACCAAACATATTAGTATCAACAAATGGATACAGATGGCATAAGTGCAGTAGATTTTTTGAGTAATACGTCTACTCTCACATAATAATATATGGGTTACTGAAAGTACTGAATTCGAGGTACTAAAAAGTACTAAAAACCGGTTTTAAGTAGTAATTCGCCCCTTGTTTGTGTATGTCTAAAATTTGCCATTTTCATTTTTGCGAATTTTTTTGAAGAAAAAAAAAATTCTGCATTTTTCTTCTCGTGTTTGATTTTATTTCGTCCACTTTATTCCTCTGTTGTGATTCCATGTTACTTACTATCTAAAATGAATAATTTGTTTTATTTTGTATTTTTCTCTTTCAATATTTGTTACGCACTATTTATTGTTAGAATTGATTAAAAAAAATTCCATGTTGACCACAAGTGCGCCAGTTTTGTATCGTCGTTTTTTCTTTATCTTTCCTACCCTTTTGATTTCGAGCACACACGTTTTATCTATACGCTAATAAAGATTTTTTTTTCATTCAATTTTGTGTACTATGTGCTACTTAATATTTTAAATCGCTTAAAAGTTAATGCTGCTCATTTCTCGTTATATTTCTTGTTCATTTTGTACAATTTGTTTGTTGTTGTTTACTATAATTAGTTCTTTGCGATTTATTTACCATGAATTAAATGAAGAAGATACAGCGAGTGTGTGTACGTGTGCGTGTGTGAGCGATAAAATGCGTTTGTCTGAAGAGTGTTGTGACGTGAAAGTCAACATTTTCTTTCCTGAACAAAATGAAATATGCTCAATCGGTTTTGAGCGACGGCAATTCAAACCAAGTTCAATGGAAATTCAGTTGAACACTTCATGATGTGACACGTTTGAATTGCATTTTCCGATTGTTTATGACAATGAGTTGTCAATTAGATTATTGGAAGAAAATGAATTGAATGTAATTGCTTACACATTTCCATTTCATTGGCTCTCGAATTATGATCGATGCAAGAAACACACCAGGAGCACACCAGGAGCTTAGCTTGTGTGTGTGTATGTGAACATATAATTTAATATAATTTAGAATGGACAATTATAAAATTTTTGATTTTTGTCTCACGCACACGCGTACACATGTCCACCTCACGAACACATACACAAATTCAAAAGGAAAGAAAATGAATTAGTATGGTTATTTATACAATATTGCACAGCACTTGTGTCTGTTTTGTTTCGCATTTCAAAGAACATCTAAACTGAGTCCACTGCGAACAACGTCTCTTTTACGCTAACAGCAATTCGTACACGAACGAGTCAGTGTGACAGTTGGCGTGAGCGAGATAAAGTTTGACAGCAAACAATTTGGTTATGTCGGTTTAAATGTTCTTTGATCCGTCGTATTTTGGTTTTGTGGTTTTTGTCAAAATTTGCATTGCTGCAAAAGTGAGACATTTTCTGTTCGATTTTCTGTGCTTCGAACACGCATGCAATTATTTAAATGCGTGCGTAAAAAGGTATACAATGAACGAATTAGTTTGGGATCTCAAATGAAACGAGTTTCGGTTTTATTTAGCAATGAAATAGATTGAAATAAAGTAGAATTTTTCTTAGTAGTTTGTGTACTGAAAAGGGGTTTGGCTGCATCCTTTTCGAAGCTTATTGAAATCAGATATGCGCGAAAAAAGCAAACTAAATCAAGTTGAAGAAGCATTTAGGAGTAGAGTGCGTTTTTTGTCTGTCATTCAAATTCACTCTGGACATTTATGTTTGTCGCGCAATTTCTTTTTCTTTATCTTATTTATCAATTTTACTTTAGTTACTTATGATAAAATCTATATTTATGCCTATTTAGTATTGATATTAATCCTAAGTTTATGTCTGATTTGTTTACGTTTTTTTTTGTTCTTTCTTCCTTTCTTTTGTTTTAATTAGATGTACTTTATTTATAGATAATCTGTTTTATTACGAATTCTTGATGTTATTATTATTTTTTCTTCTTATTTTTTTTCATTTTTGAAACAAACCAAAATGTAGATGAAAAAAAATTGCTGTCAAATTGTCCTAAACCCATGAAAAAGACGAACAAAAAACTGAATAAAATAATAGCCGTTAGAAACTACAATGTATGAACTTTGTTTTCCATCTTACATACACCATATGGATTTAAATTCATTTGATTTTTCGAATGTGTATACATGAATTTTCATCTTTCATTCCCTTCGAGAACATAAAACAATAACAGATTGAGATCGTATAGTTTGTAGTGTGTTTTTGTTTTGAATTTTCTCTAACGTTTTAGATTCATTGGAAATTCCAACTATTTTATATGTATGCCATTTTGTTGTGTGTACGTATGTGTTTTTTGGAAAAAAAACTGATTTGGTAAAATAAAAGAGAATGAAATTCGCACGATTTTCCATCTCCGACTCGAAATTTTTTTTTTCATTGAACCAAACATAATTTTGTTTTCTTCATTTTTGTTGTTGTTATTATAAAGATTTAAAAATTAGGATTAATTTAAAGAAAGTGATTTTCCTTTAAAATGTATACGTTTCTAATGGCCAATGATGTCTAATTCGAATTTCATACATGCATATATGAAAAAATTGTGTTTTCCCTTTAGCTAAATAAATAATTCACTGCATTATGTATACTTGCGTGTGTGGCATTATGTATCAATCTTGATCTCTGGCTCTTTCGTTCAATTCTGGTAGCGAATGTCCAATTTAGTTCAAAACAAAATCCAGTTTTCCCTTTTTCTCTCTCATACTCTCAATCAATTCAGTTTCATTCATTTGATTATCATTTTTTTTCCTTTTGATGGCTGAGATGTGTGATATACATTAATACAATTTTATTTTTGATCCTAAAATCTATGGGATCAGCGTTTGTTCGTTCTTCTGTGTTGTATTATTCTGCTTTCATTTTGTATTACGATATCGTAGATTCACTTAAACACACCAGGTTTACTTGGCTAATTATTAACATTCATCACTCTTTTGCACCAACCAATTTCTAATTTATTATCATTATTATTATTATTATTATGATTTGTTGTTGTTGTTGAATGTTTACTCTCTTTTTTACTTTTGAATCGTGTTCAGATTTCTTTAAAAAAAACGAAGTTTTAGGTTAATTTGTTATTTTATTCATGTTAAACTGCTGGCCATACTCTGGAATGGGACAAAAATAGAAAAGAAAATCTTCATCAGATTTGTATTGACAAATTTAAGAGGTAAGAATCTAGATCATGAGGTTGCAAAATTTTCGTTGGAAAACCAATTCATAAAATAGAAACTACGAACGAATGGTAATTTTTTTATCGTTTTCTTTTCTAATTTGTTGGTTGATCACGTTGAAACGAACGAAAAGCGTCAACTCAATAGAATAAAGTCAAAAGTAATGAAAACCAAAATGTAATATCCAGTTTCAATATGTACCTACGTTAATAGTGATGGATTCGTTTCAGGATACCAATACTGTGGCATGTAGCCGCCCATCTGAGGGGGTGGATGCGATTGCGGAGGCGGTTGATGCGTCTGCATTTGTGGAGGCTTGTGGTCAGACCAATGTGGTGGTTTCTGATCCCAAGGTGCTTGAGTTTGTGGACTTAATCCTGTAACAGCCGCAAAATGCAATTGAAAAGAAATCATTAGTTTTTATGAATTGGCATTATTTTACTCAAATTATTTGAATTCATCCACATTCTCATCTTTTGACTTCAATATGTTTTTTTGGTTTCTTCTTCAAATGGAAAATTGGAAAAGAATCGATTACAAACCTGGCGATAATTCGGATACTGGAGTGCTCGATGGTGTTGGACTCTGACCTGGAGGTAGAAAATGAGAAGGTGAACCACTACTTGAACCAGGTGCGCCTAACAAACAAATGATAACAGATCGAGGCATTTAAGACTAAAAAATCAAATTCAAACTTTTCACGTGGATGCTTTGTGATACTCGGTGTGCAACGCGAATCTTTACACTTTATGCGTGAATTTTCGCTGAACCACCACCATCATTGGCATCAAACGCAACTTATTCGTTTCAATTCTCCGTTTTAGCCTGCATTTGAATTATGACGTACTGAGAGTAGTAGCAAAAGAAAAAGTTCTACATACCTGGATGCATTGTTTGATGATTTGGACTGTGAGAACCTGGATTTGGTGTTCCTAACGGCATTCCACCGGCGCTGCTGCCGCCACCGACTCCTGGCCCTTGTGCGGCTTTCATCATTTTCTTGTATTTCGATCGCCGATTTTGAAACCAAATTTTCACCTATTCAAACCGAAGAGAAGCAAATCGAAAATTGGTCTTGTTAAAAATAAAATTGCTTTATGCGTCACAGACGACCAAAATATTAATTCTAATTCTAAAGAAAATTCATGGGGAAAACAAGGAAAATCGTTGTGGAATAAAAAAAATGAACAAAAAAAAACGTTCTATTCAAACATTTGAGACATATGCCCAGTGCATTCATTTTGTAATGCTTAAAAGCGCGCTATCAACATTGCCATCTCATTAAGATGAAAGAGAAGAAACAAGAGCTGAATACAGGCGCGAAACACATAGATGAATAACACAGTCATACGCTCACTCATTTATATTGCAATTCATTAATGCATTGAAATGCGCATTGCAAAAAAAAAACAAGATCATTGTAGTGACTTTTTGCGCGCATTCGCTGTTGTGCACAGTGCGCGAATGATCGCTATCTTTCTCTCACTCACACCCGTGAGCAGCGGTGTGCGTTGGCTTATTGCATTCGGGAAAGAAAAAAAGAAGTATTTGTTACAAGGTCTTATTATAAGTGTCTTGTTTAATTTGCTGTTCGCTGCAGTTGTTTCTCCTGTAACTACATTCTGAATTTACTGTTTGATATCGTTAATTATGAAAAATAATAATCGCCGTCATATTTTTTGCGTTCAACGCGATTTTTTTTTCTTCTTTTCTCATTTTGCGCGCGCGATGTTTGATGAACATCGTATAATATTTATTGATCAATTTCACGACGCTTTTCATCGAAATTTTCATTGAATCAATCCATGGGAATGTAATTTTGTCTGTGGTGTTTGTTGTTGTTGTTGTAGTAATTTTTATCGTAATAAAATAATCGAACTTAATTTTAGCTCCAAATCTGTACATCAATATGTGTCGATCGTGTCTTCGTGCTGATTTCAGAGATGAAACATAATTTTCAATTTATTCAAGATTAGCGATTTGGAAATCAAGCGATCGATGCATGAATCAAAACACCAGAATATCTCGTAACAAAAAAAAGATTGCGAATAAATTGCTATTCACCGGGTTTTCTCGCCCTTTCTCTCTCTCTCTCTCTCTCTCTTTCTGTTCGAACCAACGCACATTTATTATTACTGTTACAATCGAATTCATGATCATCGAAAAACGCAGACACTTTTTTTTATTGCGCTGGCAAATTTCATTATTCATTCATTTTCGAAGAAAATAGATTTATAATTATCGGCATATAGCAAATTAGTTGAAACTGATGCCAAACATTATTGTACACCGCGCGTATTACGGACGAGAAATTGTGTACTTTTTTTTTAGACAAAATCAAAACGATTTTAAAACACGAATCGGGACATAGTGCGGTGCAAACAATAAATGTACGTCGCGCTTACTGTTGTTTCGTCAATTAAAACATGCATTTTTCTTGATAAATTTATCATCGTGAAATCGTTAATTTTTTTTTTCGAGTGTGAACAGCTCTCGCTTGCTCTCTCGGTTTATTCATGTTTGGGTTTTTTTTAGTCGTCATGCATCAATTTGCAACAAGACACTGCATAATAAAGATACACACTCAGAAAAGTACTCATAGTATAGCACAATGCTGTGCTGTGGCGGTGGTGACTCAATCGACTGCAAATCGATATAAAAAAAACAATGTGCGACTGCAAATTAGCCGCCGGCTGTAAACAGAATATTAGCTGCACATTCTTTGTTTGCGTCTCGTGCGCAATTACAATCATTATTACTAATGAATGTATTCGCATTTTTTTCTCTCTCGTCTCTGATTTCCCAACGATTTTTTTTTCTCTCAACATATGAACATGACATGAGCGCAAGGAAATGGATTCCAAAATTCCTCACACTTTGATTCCATTTGTGGCGGCTAATTTTGACTATCGGTTTTTTGCCTATTGATGTCAGCATTTTTAAAATTTTGATTAAGATTAGAGTTTGAAGGAAAAAACAAAGTCGACTGGCTTGTGAACAAAACAAAAAGTTTTACACAGGTGTTTGCCTAGCTGTGTCCATAAGTTAGTTGAAAATTTATCGGTTTTTTTTGCGCCAATTTTAGAATGCACTTTTCCTTCGAAGGGTGAAAAAGAAGGAGAAGAAGAAAAAACTCGCGCGGCGACGCAGTCAAAAGTGTCGAAGATAGTGTGTGTGCGGAAGGCAGAGAGAGATAGAGAGAGATAGAGAGAGAGCGCGTCGAAACCAGAACAAAAATCATGGTGCTAAGCAATGCAAGTGCAAGTGACAATATGTCAAACAGGCTGTTGAATTTAATTACATGTAATCTGCATAATAGACACAATAATAGTATTGCCAGTGCATTTTTCTTTTTACATAATTGTTTTTATTTTTTGCTTCGCTCATTTTATTCGTAGTACTTCTCTTTGCGGTCAAATTATGGCTGTTGGCAAACTGTATTTGTTGCGTCAATTTTTCAATCGCCTCTCAAACAGGATCAAGAGGTGAATAGTTGTTTTTTTTTCTTCTTCTCTGCCGTACAGTTTCTAAGGTTAATTTGCTGTGTCTGTTCTATCTCAGTTATGCATTTTTGTATTGTCATTGATCATTGTCGACGTCGTTGTAGTCGTAATCGCCGCTTGTTAAAATTATGCCATCGATTTTATTGATTTGATATTTTTTTGATCGGCTTTGTTTTATTAGCTTTGAGGCAAGTGGCTTTTCGGATGTAATATATAAAATGCATAGTAATGATTTGCGGTTGAATACATATATTGATTGTTGCCGTATGTTGTGCCGAAACACCTTCTACAGAATTTTCCATCATTTGTGGCCAAGGATTAAAAACAAACTCGAACTCAACAAACACTCGGATCTACTCGGTGCAAAATAAGACAAAACTTGTACGCTAAGAAGTCATATCTACCCCTGGATTTGTGAACATTTAATGTACAGTGCTGTGTACAATGTACATACACTAGTGCACACCGTTTCCACACACAATTCTTCATATTTCATAAATTAACCCTAAGCGGGGGATCACTTGGTTTGTGGGTCGATGAAGAACGCAGGTTGCAATCTAAATTTTATATGCAGTCGCATATTTGGTTCTTATTATTCTCTCTGTGTCTCTTCTTTCAAATCAAAAAAAAAAAATTGCTCGTTTTCTGTCATTTTTGCTATATGTTCACAATTCGAATGAGCCCGAGAAAAAAAACCATTGACGAGCGATCGAATCGTATAATTTAAACATTGACCTGCCCTACCCACTCCAATATATGTAAATTATGCTCATGCGTTGGTAATATGAATGAGTGAACATAAGCAAAAAAAAAAACTAACAATAAGAAGATCAGAACGAAACCAAAACTGAGACAAGGATGAATTTTCATATCGTAATTATGAAGCAATGGCAATCCACCATCGGAGCTTATGATATAGATAGTGTGTCTGAAATATCTCCGATTAATTACACGATATTTCAATTGAAACATCAATCGGTTAAGTCAATGCAAACGAATTCCTTTTTTGGCGACGAACAAACAGCGCGCAACTACAACAAGAAACCGTAGCAAAATACTAACAACAACAGCAAGAACAAAAAAGAAAAAAAATGAAAATTTTCTCTAGATACTTCAATGCGCGCAATGGTAGACTGACTTACTTGGTAAGTAGTTTTTTTTTTCTTCTCTGTTCATATCTCGACAATGTTTTTTTTTTCAGCCGTTGTTGTAAAGCAAGCGCAATGAAAAGCAATAGTCTTTGATGATTATTCTTTCTGTTGACGTTCGTTTCCAGCGAAACAAATGACTTATTTATTGAATTTAACGCTTGGTTAAGTGCATACAATATTTGTTTTATATGCGTAATGTTTCACATATGATTCGATCGGCTGTGTGACTATCATCCACAAGCACACCGCATACCGCACGCACACACACACACACACACACACACGTACAACAGTTCATTACGTTTTCATTTTATAGTCATTCAAGCATTAAGCATAATGCTAATCAACGAAACGGTGTTCGCCTTAAAAGCCAAATATCGCACATGCAGAAGCGCACGCAGAAAAAAAAATCAGTTTTTGGATGGCTGTTAAATTGATGCAATTTTTATGCACTATTTTTATGCCACTTTTTTCGCTCCACAATCATCTTGTTCGGATTGATGAAAAAAAGGTCAGATCGTTGGTTGATTCATTCAATTCTAATTTCGTTAATGGTGATAAATAAATCTGATAAAAGTAACAAGAATTTCACAAAATGTCAAAAAAAATGTTCTTCCAAATATAATTTTTAATTTGATAAAGTTTCCGATTTCATGCATTTCTACTGATAGGGTAAGAACAAATCTCCGCCATTCTCAATCTGGTAACTGGCATAGAAACGTAGCTATATTGTTTTTTCCCTGGCCCACGCAAATACAATAACAATTTATTAAATGCGGAAAGAGTTTTTTTTTCGTCGAGCTATTGAGCTGATCGTGTGTACGTTGTGAATAATGTGTCGTTTGAGCTGATGATTAACGCTGAGTGTGGTTGTTGTTTCGTCGATTTTGTCGTTTTGGTCTCGTTGGTCGAATGTTTATTTATGTTTTTTTTTTCTCTCTATTGACTTCTTTCAAATTGCTACTTCAACCAAAAAACTGCCTCGTTTTTTCGAGGGTATTTTCTCCATCTCTTTCTCTGTTGTCTCTTGATGTTGTATCAACTCTGTATCGTCGCGCATTGTTTACCTAGTCTCTTTTTTTCCACGCATACACGGCATAATTATTGTTTCGAATTGAATTTGGTCGTTCTCTCTCTCTCTCTCTCTCTCTCTATATATATATATAGATATATATGTATCTCATAAGTCAGAGCTCAATAAAATTGTATTAAATCATTCAAACGCACAGGCTCATCGCACTAAGCATTCAGCAATTTATGACCAACACAAACAAAAAATGACATGATGAATATATGAAAAGTATGCGTGTGCGACACAAAGTCATCGAGAGGAAATGAGACAAGCGACGCTAACATCGTCCACGGTACAAAAGCAAATGAGGAG